CTCTTCAAATGTTAAGCGTATTCATTCTCTTTGGCTTTGGGTGCTTACTAGCTGATGTATGTCGGAAGAGGGAAAGCAGATAATCTGCTTTCCAGTCAAGTTGGACTCTGAAGTGTTTCATAGCTGTGTGTTTAATAAAAAACTTTAACTATTCATTATAGAACAAATATGCTATGATACAGTAATGTCATAAAATAACATGACTTACTGGGTCTAATTCCTTGGTCTTTTCTATTGTCTAGGTTTATACACTTTGAAAAAATAGGTGTAAATCTCTTCCATTCAGATTTGGTAGAATTTCACATTACTTTTATTTCTGTAAATTTTTATTAGGTTCCCTTGTTTGTGGATATTATGATGATCATTAATAATCATTATTCTTTCACATGACCCCTACCTCTTTCACTATACAAAAAAGGTACTGGGAAGGTAGTGATAGCAGAATTAAAGCTGTCTTGACAGTCTCAAATCAAACACTTCCTAGTTTCCAAATACTCGACTTTGCAGCCTAAACAGTTCTATATTTACATGTTTCTTTTGGCATGTAATACATGAATGAGACATCAGATTTGCTAGTATGCTGCAGCCACTTTGGGCCACTTTGAGGATGCAAACCAATGATAAACTGGTCATGGTTTGCTTTGCCAGTGTGTTGCAACTCAGGTGAAGCAAACAGGTGAATCTATCCCATAAGTTTTATCCCACAGACAACATAATTACACATTGAACAGAGCTGCTATAAAATATATACATTAATTTAAAAGCCTAAAGCAGAACAGTATACAGTAAATATAAGATTTGGAGACTGATGCATCTTAACATAAAACAAAGTTGGATATATTCTTTAAATATATTGTCCTTAGCAATATGGTGCAATTGGCCATATTTTGGTAGGATAACTGTTTTGAGTCTCTTAATATAAACCAAGGATTTCCATCAAAGAACCAAAAAATTGCCATCAAAGACTTTTGTGACCTCTTTGGGCAGGAGGCTGGACCCAGTGATCTTGTGAGGTCCCTTCCAGCCCTGATGTCTATGAAATCAATGAAACCCAGTGCCTAGGTTTTCCTTTTCTGCTGAAAAATAAGTCTCTAAAAACACTTCCAGTTATTAGTCAATCAACATAAAGGTCCTAAACAGTTATTTAATGATTGGGGTTCAACGTAATTGTGCATTGATGGTCTATCACACCAGCCATTTAATTTTGTTCTGTGGGAGAAGAGCAAAACTGCTCTTGATTGTTTCTTGATTGTTGTTGCTGCTGTTTAAAAGCATCTAACCAGCTTATGCTTGGAATCAGTGGTAACATTAGGTCTGTTCTCATATTCATCCCGGAAGATGAATCTGAGCTTAATTTGACAAACTGCAAACAGGAGCTGCTTGAAGTTTTTAATTTGAAAACCATTTATAATTGATAAATGACATTCATTCAAAACATGTTTTTTTAAAAGTTGGATTTTTAAACAAGTTTTTAATGTTTCTTCAATTTGTCTGTGACCTTTTTACCAATACTTTTATAACTCATTTTTTAAAAAGCTCTCATTAAAATATTTTGCCATCACTATAGAAAAATTTCTTTTTTAATGAGTACAGCGATTTCCTTCTGAAAACTTTGTCCTTGGCAAAAGATAATTTAGAAAAGAATTTCAGTAAAAAAAAATGTAAACTTCATTTATTAATATAATTGAAGAGGAAATGTCACACAAGGTAGAATATGGGTCCATCTCAAACTCTGTCAAATAGAAATAATTTTAAAATTTCACTTTTATTGCAAAGACTTTTTTTGTTTCTTACTAGTCGTGCATCGCAATTAAGAATACGTACCAGTTTTTAATGAAGATTTCATTATAAAGCATTCATCTCTACTGAGTGATGGAAATACTTTTTCTAACTATGTTTCAAGAGACTTTCCTTAAAACAGAAAACCCAACTCCATTCTGTATTTGTTGCACATGCAGGAATGTTTTTCTTTCTTTCATCTGTCAGACCTGTCATCAAGTAACTCAGTGCCATATTGGGAGAAAAATCTTTTTGCTCATTTGAGTTCAGGATTTTCTGTCCCTTTGGGATACTTTCATAGCAAGGTCAAAAAATACTGTTTCTATGGTGAAAAAATGACAAAACACTCAAGAATCAGGGGTTGTCTAATCAGTCAACCATTCCCATTGACTAGAGTCTGGAACAGTATAAGTACATGATTGCAGCATTCCCCACAATCATTCCTGTGTAGCAACTGCACATCCTTTTTTGTGGGTCAAAGACACTTAACCTACTAATTACTTATGAGGAACTCCAAATAGGAAACAATCTGGAAGGTACAAGCTACAACAAACGTGCCCGTAAGAAGGAATACAAGTGTTAAAATGAGCAACGGCTAATCATTGAATTTAGTAGAATTCATCACTTCTATGAATGTAGTGAAAACTTCCCCATGCAGCTTCCACAATGATAAATATTGAGAGGCTACAGGGATAAAAGAAGCTGACTGACATGGAATTAAAAATAACACTTTAAATCTACATTTGAAGCTGGTTTACTAGAAATAGGCACATGTTCAGTACCAAGACGCTAAGCAGTTTGCCATTTATTAACTGTACATCTTGATTAAACAATGTTAATCAAATACAATTTATTATTGCAGGCTTCACATCTGCAACATAAGAGCATTATATGGGGACTTGGTAAAGCTGCTATTGGTTTGGTTTGGTTTTTTCCATTACAAGCTGCTGCCTTCTGTGCGTCATTTTGCTCTCACTGTGACAGAGTTGGAGAGCTTTTAAGGAAAAAATTGAAAGCCAGTCAATTCTTTTATCTCAGTAATTTGGCACTCAGCAATCATCCCTCCCCTACCAAGTGAGTTTGCTGAATTAGAACGCATGATTGGTTCAGTTGTCCAGTTTACACACCAATTACAGTATTTCACATGCAGACTTCCGCTGAGTTATTCATGTTTATCACTTCCAGCTTCAATTCATGCCATGTGTTCTAAATGGGGCTGTTTGAAGGCTATTTGGAAATTGTAGTTGGTGCAATTGTTCCACTCTAGTGATAACCTTTTTCATTAGAGCTCTTGCAAGGAGTACCTAGCTATCCATAATCTGCAATAACTTCCCAGTTCTTTTCCAATTGGGAGATAGACATACCATGTTTTCCTTGAGAGACTAATATCGGCCCTGTTCAAGTTCAGAAGTGATAGCTGGACTGTGTTTTCCTTCGGCGATAGCCAGAAAGAACAAACAGAGGCACTTGAGGTTCTGGGCTTTCAAGTTCAGAGAGGCATAAGCTTTCATAGGTAATGCCTACTTGGTCAGTTGTTATTTTAAGCAATTGGTCTTTATTAATCAAAATCATTAAATATTAAATCCTCTAAAATTCAAGAGGAAGACATCTTCTCAAGTTAGCTAAAAAAACCAATATTTACAAATGATACTATGGAGTATTGAAAGCAGGAGGATGAAATGAATATAGTTCTACAACCTTAAACATAACAGGCTACTCATTCAAAGTTATTTATACATTATTTGGCATTATGCTTTAATGTTTACAGCCAGGAATTGTAGCATTCTAATCCCAGAACTTTCTAATCAGGAAAAAGCCCCAAGGGGTAATATTTTCTAATGGGATCTCTGATTTTGGGCTGCTTGGTTTTTGTGCATTCCACCTGAGAGAGCTTATTTCTGATTTTTTAGAAGTCCCAAGTACCAATAGTTCCAGATGAAGTCAGTGTAAACAGCAAATGATTAGCAGTCTGGGAAAGCAGACATCGAGTTCTCAGAATGACCACCTAACATTGAGTCATACAACCTTCGTGACCATTCTAGAATCACAGAAATCATAGAAATTAAGCACTGGAAGTGACCTCGAAAGATCACTGAGTTCAACCCCCCTGCTCTGGGCAGGAATACTGCCAAGATCAAATGATCCCAGCAAGGTGTCTATCTAGTCTGCTCTTGAAGACTTGCAAGGTTGGGGAGTGCACCATCTCCTTGGGAAGTCTATTCCAGATTCTGGTCACCCTTACCGTAAAGAAGTTTTTCCTTTCATCTAACCTGAAACCATCCTCTAACAGTTTATGGCCATTGCTCCATGTCCTCCCCTGTGGTACCCTAGTGAACAGTTTTTCTTCCAGCTCCCGATACTCACCCCTTAAATATTTATAAATTGTCACCAAGTCCCCACTCAGTCTCCTCTTCCCCCGGCTGAACAGTCCCAGATCCCTTAGCCTTTCTTCATAAGGTTTGTCCTCCAGGCCCTTAATCATTCTTGTGGCCCTTCTCTGGACCCTTTCAAGATTCTCCATGTCTTTTTTTGAAGTGCAGTACCCAGAACTGGACACAAAACTCCAGCTGGAGTCTCACCAACGCCAAGTAGAGAGGAAGTATCACTTCCTTATCCCTGTTTATGGCACATCAGCTAATGCATCCCAGCCTGCTGTTAGCTCTGTTGACTACAGCATCACACTGGTGGTTCATGTTCATCCTGTGGTCAACCATAACCCCAAGGTCTCTTTCAGCCATCGTGGTGGCCAGGATGATGTTCACTGTAACTTTTGTTTCTCATTTACAAAATTCAAACAGGCAATGTAAAATGTTTATCAAGCTCATCTAGGTGTCATGAAGATTAGTTTGTTCATCCTTGCAAAGCATTTGAAAGGGTTATATGTTATAACTCAGAACACCATGCAAATACTGGTATGCAATTATACCCAAGGTGTTTTTATACACAACTATATAAGTTGTTCATCTGAATCTTTCACCAAGAACACAACTTTACTTCCATTAGCTAATAATATTATTCACATGTCTCTGTTTTGGCAATTTTTTTTGAGATTTCATTTGTCGTTTCACTCTGACCTTGACAAGAATATATTTTAATTTTTTCAGGATATAACGTTTGACCAAATAGATATTGGGATTTCTTCTGTGAACTTTTTTCGTACAAACTTCTTTTCCTAAAAAAAAAAATGTTTTCCTCTTTTCTTTCCCCCTTTCTCTTACCAGTGCATAGTTTGGGACTGGGATTCCAATGGGAAGCATGACTTCATTGGAGAATTTAGTTCAACATTCAAGGAAATGCGAGGAGCAATGGAAGGAAGACAGGTAGGTAGATATTATTCATAATGGCTGGAAATAATAGCTCACTAATGAATGTTTAACAGGTCCTTCTTTATGCCTGCTGCAGAGAGGACCTTTGAGACTGTTAAATCCCCTACTAAGGAACTTGGCTATTTAGTTCGAACTATAGTAGCGTATGCTTTTAACACTAAAGGTCACTTATTCATTCTCTACTCTGTCAGGCAAGACAGTGGCCAGCACAGTAACAACATTATATTTGTTTAAAGTATTAATTCATAGTTAATCAGAGACTTGAGTGTATGGCCATATTTCAAATTTATTTGCCTACTATACAGTCCCAGTGACGTAATGGACTATGTTAGGATAAATTTTAATACAGTATATTTATTAGCTTATCAGAGTAATTTCATGGAAGGTTCACTATTGACTGCTTTCAGCCCAGAATTTCACAGAACAGTGATGGGAAAAGGTTTGGGGTGCAGTTTGGTGGTTTATCCAAATTTGTTTTGCTTCTGAAAATTATTGGAAAGCTTGTGAAAATATTTGTTTTATTTTTTCACAAGATTTCTAGAATATCATGGTTGTCTCGGGTCTGGAGGTACATGGAGTTTTTTTTTTTCCTGTGCTTTTACTTCTAGTTCTGACCAAACCCAAGAAGTACAGAGGTACCCACAGTAGAGACAAATACAATGTTAGTGCTATAGGACCTTCCTATTTGGGAAGGTGTTGAGCAAGGAGGTTTAAGCTGGGGCACTGTGTAGGGAGACGTGATATGTATAATCTTACTATTTCTGTAGCAAGTGGTAGGTGAGTTTATAAAATTTGCTATAAAATCACCTGATACTTCAATATGCCAAAATTACAATTTCTAGTATTGTAAAACACCTGTGTTTTGGTACTGAAGACTAATTCTGTAGCTATAAATAGAAGTGGCAGTCAGGATTGGTTCATTCCTTTCTCTGCTCAGCTCTTAAATGTGTGTGATATCAAGCAAATCACCTGAAAGTGGCTTGATTTTTCATAGGTGCGGAGCGCCCATAATTCCTGTAGAAGTCAGTGGAAATGCATAGGCTTAGCACTTTTGAAAATCAGGTTATATATAATTTTCTGTACTTCAACTTATTTGGCTGCATAAGCAATAATACTACTAAATTGCTGAGCTATTGTAGGACTTAATGAACTGATGATTGTGAGGCCCACTTAAAGACACTTTATACAAACTGATTTCCTATTGAAATTGATGGGAGTTGAGGGATTAAACACCTTATATGGTCGAGCTTACCTGATGTCCGAGCTGTACTGACATCATCAGTTTTTAAAAACCCACAAAGAATACAAAACTACACTGAGTTGGCTTGTGCTGTACTACTATTTCCAAGAAGGAAATAGTCTTGTTCTGGGGCATCAGAAAGCATTAAGTGCTCTGCAGCAGGGATGCACACTTATTTTGGCTGGAGGGCTGTTTAATGAGTTTTGGTGAGCTGTTGAGGGTTGCAAAGGTAGCCCCACCCCTTGGAGGTGCCTCGCCCCCTGGTCACTACCTTGGGAATGGAAGTCCTATGCCGAACCCCTGACCATTGCCACTGGAAGTCCCTCCTCTTGCCTACCAGAAGTACTGCTTTTGGGAGTGGGGGCTGCTATCTGAACCAGAAAAAAAACAGGTCATATGCTAAGAGTCAAACATCTACTATAACATGTTTTATTTTTATTGCAAAAAATATTTTTGTCATGATTCATCTCAGTGTAGTTGTAAGTAGGGGTCCCAGGGCCAGTGTCAATGTAGGCCTGCCCACTTGTTTCCAGGCTAACCACCCACCCATCTCTCCTGCCATGCCTTGATGTTCTTATTATCTGATGTTAAGCAGGCGGGAGACTGCCCTTTACCTGCCCTGATGACAAGGGCCTCTGTACACACTCCGAGCTCCCCTTAATGTATCCAGTGCCTCGCAGATGTTTCCTCCACTAGCTAGCATTGGGGCACAATCTCCAGAGGCTCACGTGGGACTTTCACTCCCCATCGGAGCTTGAGGTCCCAGCGCCCTCACAGGTGTGAGGCCAGGTTTTTTAACCTGCCCTCACACCTGGACTTAGCACATTCTCTATATATACTGGGCTCCCAGCCCTCTCTCTGGGTCTGTAAGCCCCTTCCTCAGGCTCCAGGCTCTGTCCTTGGGCTCCAAGCCCTGTCCATGGGCCACAAGCCTCTCCCAGCCATAAGCCCCATGCCTGAACTACAAGCCAGTCCTGTTCCCAGGCACCAAGCCCCTCACTATGGGACTAGGGCTCCAAGCCCTGTCCATGGGCCACAAGCCTCTCCCAGCCATAAGCCCCATGCCTGAACTACAAGCCAGTCCTGTTCCCAGGCACCAAGCCCCTCACTATGGGACTAGGGCTCCAAGCCCTGTCCTACTACATTCTAAGTTACCCATATCCCTTTGCCCCAGGAGCTTCCCTAATTGCTCCCCAAGGCTCAGGGCCCCATCCCCCTGGAGCCTAACTCCTGGCTCTGTAATACTCCGAGGCTCTCCTGCAAGACTGGGTGCTGCCACAGGTCCCTCCACCTACCTGGGCCCTGCCTCCGTGATCAAACCCATCAGGGATGTGGGAGCTGGGGTTTTCAGGCACCCCTACCCACCTTTCACCAGGGAGGTAACTGGCCTGGCATATCTTGGGAACTACCCCACCACAGGTAGCTCCACCAGGCCACCTTTCTCCAGCAGGGTGCAGTTTCAGGCCATGCCCAGAATCATTTACTAACCTCCTTCCCCATACCCCCAGCCCTTACCTCCAAGGTATTCCAGGCAGCAGCTCAGCTGGATGTTGCCTGCTCAGCTGGTAGCAGCAAACTGCTACCCCTGTCATTCAAGGACCCAGCCGTTATATACACCAGCTGGACTCTGTTCCCCAATCAGGCAACTCTGCTTGATTAGGACAACAGGCAGCTGTGGACTGCTTGGATGCCACCCTCTGTTACAGTAGTGTATACAGAGATGACTGCATAGTAGGTAAAAAAATAAATAAATAAGGTCTTACTCAGCAGCAGCAGGGTGGAGAGCCCCAGCCCACAGTGGCAGCCTGTGTCTGCCCAGCACACAAATCCAGGGGGCATGTGCCCCCTGTGCCTCCCCTGGGGTGCAAGCAGCAGCGAGAGCTGCCCTACACCCCTGGACAAGCCTCCCAGACTCTGACCATCCCACAACCCACCCCGGAACCTCATTCACTCCAGCCCCTGCCCCACTCCCTCCCTTACTGTGGGGCCTTTGATTGCCTCCCCCCTTTCCTCTCCACTGACTTACCTGCTGGCCAGGGGTGTGTGTGTGCGCGCTCAGCCCCCGCAAATAATATTTCCTCCTTCTGCCTCTGGTGGCAAGTAGCAATACGGGAGAGAAGGAGACTGGGTACATAACTTTGACATTCTAAACAAGCAGGTATATGTATGATGGGATATATAGGCAGAAACAACAAGACTTGTGGGTCAAGCATAAAGGCCAAGTCAAAAAAGATGGGCCTGAATGACTAGGAGAATGTATCTTCTACAGTAGTGGAAGAGAGAGGAAGATCAGCCACAGTGTATGGAGGGGAAATCAGAAGTTATTTTTGCCTATGATGAGTTTAAATTGCTTTTGGTAGAGCATCAAAAATGGAGCACAACAACTTGAAGCATCAGTGTACACTGTCTAGGCCATTATCTTAAAGAAGATGTTATTTCTTTAATAACACAGTAATTATGAATATATGAGAAACATCTTTGAACTTCTGCACTGGAATTTTTTGCTACCCTTTTTTTTTCCCCATGGGGTACAGTTCTGACTTTAGTGAAGCCAAGGGGATACCTCCAACAGCTTCAGTGGCACCATGATTTCCACCTTGATCTTTACTAGCTGATCATATAGCAATAAATAAATATTTATGGAATTCTGGAGGTAGTCGGTTCATTAAATACTGTTGTAATGCCTTGTGTTTCTGTCATACGCTGCTAAAATGTCTATCAATAGCAACATTAAGACGTTATTTGACAGCAGAGGTCAGTGACGGTTTTTCTTATGGCAAGAATTGCATTGAATTAAAAGACAGTGTAGCTTTCAGCATCTAAGCTAAGATTGAGTTACATTTATCTGGAATTTCTGACCAATGTTTGTATCCATCCCAAAGTAGTTGATGAGGTTGAGTTATTAGCTATGTTGGTTACTGTTTTGCTTCTGGGAAGGCTGTTTGAACAACTGATCCACTCTAGTGCTATTATGTAGGTATCTAGACATGTTGTTTTGAAAATCAAAATAAGCCAAAAAGAGGAGGTGTGGCTCTTACTTACACATGAAGTAGCTAGTCTCAGTTTCTAGTTCTATTTCCTCCTTCAATTATTTAGGTACATATAAGTCCATGCATATAGGTTTTGCCAGCTGCTGGAGTATAATGGCAAAACAAGCGCATACTTTCAAGAGGGATAACAGGAGCACACACCTAATGGCCAAAGACTTTTCACTGGTTGAGAATGTAATTCTCTTCCTTCTCTCTTCTTCTCTGTACCTCAACCCCAGTGCTTGCCCTGCCTTTGCCACTACCCAGGCTGACTTGAAACCATCATGATGTAATTGATCAGTTTCTTAAATGAATCATGAATTACAGACCCTAAGAGAAATAGAATTATTAGCTCATTAATAATTCCACTTTTTTCTGTCAGTTTGATCCTTGCAAATTGGGGTTGATGGCAGTTATTGAAAATGATAAATGATTTGGCATATCTAATTCTAGAAGTTGTCATTTCCTATTATTATTTAATCCTGGAATCATTAATCTTGATAAATTATCTGAGGAGAAATTAAAAACGTTGGACTCCTAGACTGAAGATGGGGTTGTGGTTGTGGCTGATCTCATGATAATCACCCTAAACATGCAAAACAAACTTGGCTCTGGCATTAAGATTCCATTTTTAAAGGGTTAATGAACAGTTAACTAATAGATATTAGGTGCTTTAGTAGATGAGTAACCAATTGATTTAGAGTCAGACCAAACAAGGATTCATG